CTTTCTTTCTTTCTTTCTTTCTTTCTTTCTTTCTTTCTTTCTTTCTTCTATCTATCTATCTATCTATCTATCTATCTATCTATCTATCTATCATCTATCCATCTATCCACCCCCCCCACCCATCCATCCATCATCTCTTTCTCCCCCCACCCCCATCTACCTACCTACCTACCTACCAACCATCTACCTAACTCTATCAGAGAATGCAAGCTATTTTCTGCAACCTGCAGAAATAGTTCTGCAACTTGACGGAGCTAAAGATTAAGTTTCTTTTTTTCCAGATACTTTCTAGTAACAGGAGTAAAAGTCAGGATGTGTCAGAGAAACGGAGTTAATCAAAACCTGTCTTTGGTTTCACGTTATTCATTCCGTGCTGATTGCCTGGCTAGGAGCTATTGTTCCAGTGACAGCGGGATCCTTTTGTGAATGGTGGTTAAATCCAGGGAAAGTGAATGCAAAAATTATTCTGTGCTCATCAGATCGGCTGCTTTTGTGCAGGGAGGGATGCATCTCTCTAGTTTAATAACAGAAATAAGTTTGGCAGCTTTTAGCATCTCAAAGCTGCTCAGCTTCACAGAGAGAGCATGAATATTATTTCGGTCCTTTTTTCTTTTTCCAGGGATGCTTTTCTGCATCTGAATATATTTTTTGGGGGGTGGGGCGTGGGATAAAATAATTGTGGTGCATCTCTCAAAAACCCAGAATGGCTTCTGAGGAAGAAACAATGGAGGAGAAAAACCAAATGGATACGGAGAGCTTTTTGGAGAGAAATATTTCTAGATCTGTAATACGCCAAAGCAGAATCGGTCAATATTTGTCCAAGGATCAACAGAGATGGCTGGATTAAGGAATGCTCCCATCCCACAAATACAACGGGTCAAATCCAATCTTTGGATTGCATTCGTGGTCTTTGAGCAGTTGACTTGGACGTTCCTTTCATGACTTGTAGTCTCTCTATCTTAGTTTTTCGGGTTCTCTGTATTCTCTCCCTCTAGACCAGAAAACACCCGTTAATTTTGTCCTTTCTTTGCAGTTCAAGGTTGGCCTTGCTGACTGGTCCTTCCAGGTGTTTTTTTTTTGCAATTGGGGTCCATTGGGTTTGCCGGCGAAGCCCCGATCATGAGAAAGCAAAGTCCATGACCGCCAGCAGAGAACGTCAACTCCGTGGCTGTTTTTGGAGGCCCACCATCAAGACCGTGGTTCCATCAGCAAGGTAAGATGTGACCTTTGCAGCCAAGACTGAGGGAAGGGTACGAAAAGGGGGGAATGGACAAACCAAGAAAGTGCAACCCTTATGGTTAGGTAGGTAGGTAGGTTGGTTGGTTGGTTGATTTTTTCTTCCTCCATGGAAATGTTGATGTTCTTCTGAAACTGTAGCTTGATATATTGTGCGGAGAGATAGACTTAATTTAGAAATGAGCTTTTTGTTGGAAATCCCCCCCTAGAGATTGCTTCTCTTGTAGCCATTTTTTTGCCTAGCTTGTTTGTCCCAGACCAAGTAGAGGGAGAACCCTTTGCAGCCCACCAAGGACATGAAGCCAAATATTTCAGTGGTGAAATCCTCTGAAGTCTGCTACCGGTTCTGTGAGTCTGCTACCGAGCACGATCATCAGAAATACCAGTTTGCCCGAACTGGCAGTATTTTTTTTACTACCGGTTCGGGAGAACCGGTCCGAACCGGTAGCATTTCACCCCTGAAATATTTGTGGCCATAGAAAGACATCCTCCAACGTCATGAGCAGAAGGACATTTTCTCTTGCATCCTGGTTGAAACTGTCCTTCCTCCCGGAGGGCTACCCACTCCCAACTTTTGGAGGGTGAGACCACTAATTCCTGGGTCACCAGGTTGCTGCTCTTCATCTCATATTCATGAGGCTACCATGTCTTTCTCTTGCTATGCAGCCCTTGATCATAGACCCTAGAAGGTCTTCTCACATTGTCTGTAGATTGTAACGGTTAAGGTGATAGAAAGTGAACATGATTAAATGCACGGGAAAGAATAATCCTGACTATATTTGACAGAGCTCTACCAAATAATTTAGAGTGTAGAAATTGTGGACAGAAGGATTTTCTCTCTCTTGCAATCAGGGTTATGAACTGAAATTCATCTTGTGGGCGGTTGTGGGGAGGTAGGGGAGGGCTGCAGCTAATAAAAGAAAGGATAGTGGGGGGAAAAAATGCTTCCAGTTGTTGAAACAGAATGGTTTAAATTACCCGGCTGCAGAAACCTTGGCTAAATGGAAGATCAGGGAATTAGTTGGATCTACAAGAAAATTCCCACATTAGGTATTAATCCAGGCTAGAGAAGAAGACCAGGTTGAAAAGCTTCTTCCAAGAACCCATTTAAGTCCAGCAGAGACCATGAAGGATTTGGGGAAGCTTCTGAGATAGGACAGAATTGCTTGAATACCACACTGTTGTGGCTCGCTGGTGGCCAGCAGAGCTGGCCGCAGAGTCGGACAGTGAGCAGGTTGGGGAGGAACTTGGACCAGTCCTGGGGGCTGAGGAAAGCTCGGACGAGGTCTCTGCATCAGACGCAGATAGGGGGCCAAAGCCATCTGATAGTTATGTGCAGCCTCCGGAGTCTGACAGCAGCGAGGTATAAGAACAGCGGGAGCCTGTTCCCGGTGTGCGCATGTGTAGAGTTTCCAGACGACAAGAACAATTAACAAAATAGGGTCAATTTGGGAGTAAGGCTTGGAGATGATCGGCCCCTCCCATAAAATATAAAAGAAGAGCAAACGGGACGTGAGTTTTTGCAGGAAGCAATTAGTTCATCTGGCGATTCAAGTTTGAAAATTCTGTTTGTGACTCTGTGCCAAGTTTGGCCTTTCCCTGCTTCTGGACATTAGCTCTTTGGCATCGTTCCACGTGAGATAGGTGGGTGTTGATAACCTTCCTCTGAAAGACTGTTTATCAAGCCTTGCGGACTGTAACTGAAAGTAATTTACAGTCGTATGAATTAAAGAGTTTTTTTGGGGACTAAGGTTATGTTTTATACTTTCTAAGGAAGCCTAGGTCAGAACCCACACCTGGCCCTACAATTCAACAGGAGGTAGGAAGGTGCATCCATCTGAGCAGCCCTTCGTCTTCCTCCTGACCACGGAATTGTCTCGTCCTTTTTAAAAAGCAGCTGAACTGGTCTCCATGAAAGGAACCAGATGTCCTTGAGGACTAAGGAGATTGTGGCATGGATAAATGGCGATGGGAGAAGGGGGTACTGTAGTCAAGAAGACCTGGAGGCCAGGTGATGGTGGAGGTGGCGAAGATGGTACAAATATCCTAGTTCCAGGATATATTTGATGTTAAGCCTTCACTTCCAAGTTGAGCAGTGACCCTAACAAGGGACAAGGTGATCCTCCAGAGATGAAAAGAATAGAATAGAATAGAATAGAATAGAATAGAAATAGAATAGAATAGAAAAGAATAGAATAGAATAGAATAGAATAGAATAGAATAGAATAGAATAGAATATGGTAGAAAATACGGAATGGAATGGAATGGAATGGAAGAATAGAATAGAATAGAATAGAATAGAATAGAATAGAATAGAATAGAAATAGAATAGAATAGAATAGAAGGAGAGGAATGGAATGGAATGGAATGGAATGGAATGGAATGGAATGGAATGGAATGGAATGGAAGAATAGAATAGAATAGAATAGAATAGAATAGAATAGAATAAAGAATAGAGGAGTTGGAAGGGACCTTGGAGGTCTTCTAGTCCAACTCCCTGCTTAGGCAGGAAACCCTCCACCACTTCAGACAAATGGTTGTCCAACATCTTCTTAAAAACTTCCAGTGTTGGAGCATTCACAACTCCTGGAGGCAAGCTGTTCCACTGATTAATTGTTCTAACTGTCAGGAAATTTCTCCTTAGTTCTAGGTTGCTTCTCTCCTTGATTAGTTTCCACCCATTGCTTCTTGTCCTGCCTTCAGGTGCTTTGGAGAATAGCTTGACCCCCTCTTCTTTGGGGCAACCCCTGAGATATTGGAAGACTGCTCTCATGTCTCCCCTGGAGACCACTGCAAGGGCAGGGCTGGTGAAAGACAGAGCTTTGACAGCTGTCATCTTGATTTCTTTTGACCCCCTTGGTGGTTGTGGGAGTGATGGAGCTGGGTTTTTCGATGGCGGGGGGAGAAGGAGAAAAAGAAGGAAAGAGATTGGGGCACAAGGAACTTTAGAATAGTTGTGCCGAGCCTTTCTTCTTTTCTTTTCTTTTCTTTTCTTCCCCACCCTCCTCGTTTGGCAGCATGCAATTTTCCCCCCCTCTTAAATGTTGTTATTCAAAATACGATATTTTAAAAAGGACAAAAAGGAAAACAAGATTATGGGCATAGGCACCGCTGGAGAGAGCAATTATTTCCATGGCTACTCAGAAACACAACATTGACATTCTGAAAAAGGGAGCTTTCATATTTAACTTGTTCTGGAGTTGGTGGAAATAACAAGTCTATTAAACTTTCGGCACCGACTTGGTTTTTTCTGGGAATCTGACTCAGGGATAGTTTCTGACTTCCCCAAATATGCATTTATTGTTTCTTTTTTCGGCTTTAAGAGAAGAAGAGATGAGTCTGGCGATTTTTAGAAAGAGATGCAGGAGAAGGGTGCAAAAACTTCAGGAATTTGGTAGCCTCCTTTCTGACTTCCAAGCTGCAGTTTATCCATTGAACTTCTGCCTTTGAATTAAATTAGCTCGTTGCAAAAAGCAGATTCCTAGTGTTTTTGACGTCATAAGTCTAACCTGACTCCTTCTTACTGTGTAACATGGGAAAACAGGAAAGGAAATCACCTTTCGGTGAAAGGAAGAAGGATTTTCTGCACATCAGAAAATCTCTGTATTCCCCATTCCCCCCCCCACCACAAGCTGAAACTCAATACAGATAGTCTTGGACTTATGACTGTCATTGAGCCTGGAATTCCAGTTGTAGGTCATACTGGTCATTAAGCAGATCACCACGAGACTGCTCCGGATTTTTATGATCTTTTTTTGCAGCATGACCTTTTGTTAAGTGGCTCCGTTGACTGCAATGGGTGTTTTGTTTTTTGCTAGAAATCAGAAATAAATGCTAATTCCCAGCAAACCTCCCCTTCCATAAATCACAGTCAGGTGGACTGCAGGATGCCGCAAACAGCTATATATGTGGGCAGTTGTTGAGCACCCAAAATGCAATCATGTGACTGCAGGGAGGTTGGCCATCAAAACCTCAAATGGTTGCTAAGCGATCGGTCATAAGTTGAGGACTACCAGTATAGAGTTGGAGATTTAGTTCCAGTGGAATTCTTGAGAATGACGCAGAGGGAGGGAGGGAGGGAAGGAAGGGAGGGAGGAAGGGGAAGGGGAAGGGAGGGAGGGAGGGAGGGAGGGAGGGAGGGAGGAAGGAAGGAAGGAAGGAAGGAAGGAAGGAAGGAAGGAAGGAAGGAAGGAAGGAAGGAAGGAAATATATTTCATGAATTCCTCCCTGCAGGACCTTGCCCTAAATTTTCGTATAATTTAGCACTTCAAAACTTGGTTGAAGCTTTCCAGAAATGTGTCAGGAGCTCAACCTTTAATTACAGCGGCGATATTTAATTGATTAAAATATGGCACCAAGAATAATGTAATTGTTGGAACCCTTCGGGTTTCCCCGCATCGTCAAATTTCAAAATGTAATTTGCGGCTTTGAGAAATGGTTCTTTTAGGGGGGATTGCATCAACAGTATGCCCAAGGAGGAAATGGTGTATTAGAGGAAAAAGGCTTGCAAAAAACACGTTCCTGGGAAGATGTGTGTGTGTGTGAATACAAGAATATGTGGAAAATTGCATGGAGAGAAAATGCGTGAAGGAAACACACGTGTGAAATTTGCAAGGGGATTCGGAATTCGCAAACTGCTTCAGACACATAAACTAAGGTGTGCTTGCAAAAAATGGAAATTTGTTTTAGAGAGTGATCTGAACTGTTCCAGCATTCTTTTTTCATTTAAAAAAAAAACAACCCTCTATCAGACTCTAATTCTAGATAACCTCTCATCAGCAAGAATCCCAGAGTTGGAAGGGACCTTGGAGGTCTTCTAGTCCAACCCTCTGCCTAGGCAGGAAACCCTACACCACTTCAGACAAATGGTTATCCAATATCTTGAGTTGCAGGGAACATAATAAGTTTCCTTCCTGGCCTCATTTGGGTTTGCTTTTTGAGGGGCCACCGAGAGGAAATCTCCAGAGTCAGGGCCTT